CTTTAAAATAAAAAAGAAAGAAAGAAGTAACTAAAGTGCCAGGCATATTGACACAGGCCGGTAATCCCAGCACTGGGAGACTGAGGCAGGAGGATTGCTACAAGTTTGAGGCCAGCCTGAGCTATGTAGTAAGCTCAGGGACAGCCTGAACTATACAGCAAGTTCAGGGACAGCCTGAACTATACAGCAAGACCCTGTCTCAAAAAATGAAAAAAGAAACAAGCAAACAAAAAACACACAAGAAAGAAATAAGTAATTCAAAGAAGGCAGTATCCACAGCAATTTTCTGAACTAGCTACTGACAAAACCTATCCTCAGAGTCATCAAAGGTTGGACTCAGAAACAAGCCAGAGTAATAATTAGCCTAATTTAGAAGGAGAAGATGCCCTTACAGTACTTTGGGTTGCTTCCAGAACAGCTTGTCTCTAATATGTGTTAAAACTGCAATTAGTGAGGACTTAGTTTTGAATAAAGTTCTATTAGGTCCCTAAAATGCAATATCATGTCCTTGTATCACTGTGCTCTGTTACAGTACAAATGAAAAGTAAAATGTTTCTAAATATTTTCAATTGCACTTTTTCCATTACTTTTTCATTTCAGAACAGAAACTGATTATCAATGTTTGGAGGCAGCAGGTTTTTACATGAATTAAGAAAGACTAAATGTATCAAAAATCAACAGTTTAAAAATTATTAATTGGTAATGCAATTCTAACAAAGACTGCATCAGAACACCAAAAAATGCTGTAGAATAGCTCAGAATAAGCTTAACACAGAACATGCAACATCTATTTGAGGAAAACTGTAACACAAGATGTAGAAGTCCTCGGTAAATATGGAAATGTACCTTGCTTCTAAATGGAAATGTCATGGTTGTTAAACTGTTCATTCTTCTCAAATGTATACATAAAGTCAAAGATTTAATCAAAATTCTGATGGGATATTTTGGAGGAAATGGAACTAAATCGATTTTTAAGAGCATGTTGAATAATAAATTAATAAAAATTGAGGAGAAATTGTCAAAATGAAGGATGAGCAAGTTTTTGTCCAGCCAGATCTAAATACCTATTATAAAGCCTCAGTGAATAAAACAGTATGTTAATGATCCTAATCATCAAACGAAAGAAGTACAAGAGTCAAGCAAAAGTTTAGTAAACATACGGGAATGTTGTATGTATCATATGTACTATTTAAAACCAGTGAGAGAGGAAAACCTTATTGAGTAAATGCTGTTTTAACAATTATTTATATAGTTAGGAATAAAGTTGAAAATCAATCTCAAATATAGTACATTTCTATTAAATTGACAATCTGAACTGAATACAAACTAATAAGTAAGAATCAAATGTGAGAGGAATCTGAATTTGGAAAGTCCTTTCAATACATGATAACAAGCTTAGAAACCATAAGAAAAGACACAACTAGAAAAATCTAAAATTTGAACCTCTCAAAAGATGATATAAACAAAATTTAAAAAGAAATGACATATTGGAAAAACAGCACACAATTTAGGGTTTTGATATGAATATTGATAAAAATATCTACAAAACTGGACAAAAATGGCTAAGGTAAAGAACATGAACAGTAGCATACTCAAAAATAAGCATGAATTATAAATATTTGACATTATTCATATATAAACACAAGCAAAAATACAACCCTAACATAATATAATCCCCTCATCCTGATCAGAGTGGTAAGTGCTGATAATACAAAGCACAACCAAAAAGGCAGGGAAGGATGGTCAGGGGCACAAACACACTTACATATAGGAAAATAAATAGTTGTAGACTTTTGAAGGATAAATTGACAATGTTTATTGAAATTCTGCATTTTAACTTCTAATTCATAGAAATAATTGGAGAAAAGGAAGGACAGACATGAAAGAATTATATTTCAAAGGTACACAGTCACAGCTAAAAGCTACAGGTAAATTAAGTATCCAAGTACCCAACAAATGCTAGTTAAGTAAACTACAATATATTTATGCAGTGAAAAATCGGTGTAGCTATGGATTTAGACAAAATTATATGTAACATTATGGAGAGATATCCACAATATATTAAGTGAGGTAAACAATTATCGAACAGTATATATAAAATGATCATATTGTTGACAAAAATATATAACTATCTTATTTGTATCTATGCAGAAAAGTCAAGAAAGTACTACACATAGGGAATTGGATTATTTGAAAAGGAAGGAGTTTTCTTTCTAACTTTACATAGTATTGTATTTAAATATTTTACGATGGCCTATACAAAGAAAATGATGTCAGCTGGCCTAAAATTTAGAAAAAAAAAAAAATTCACATTAAAACTAATTCCCTGAGCTCATCATTTTCATGAATAAAATGATTTATTGCTAACATCTGAAATTCTTAAAGTACATAGCACTGAAATAATCTTAGCCCATCCCATAGAATATTACAAAGTAAAAATTTTAGAAAAAGGACAACTAATTTTTCTAAAAATATCCTTAAAAGATTAATATAAACTACAGACCATAAGTATTATTTTCTGTATTGAGATCCTGGTTCATTGTCAATGATTTCTCTCTTTTTCATTACAGAAAAAAGACAAAAATTCTTCCCTTTAATAAATGAAGACATAAAATAGAATTCAAAGAGCTCCTCTCAACTGATATATGTATTTAAGAAGTTTAACCACTAAATAACATCTAGTTCAACATCTGGGCTTCTTCAACTGGAGTATATAAACTCACGGAGCTCAGGAATCCTTCAATTCTTATTCTTTACTGAATTCAGAGCAACTAGGAAAGGAAGGATGGGAGAAAGAAAAGGAATCACACCACTTTAGAAGATAAAAGGAATCTCCAAGGCCATTTCTGTCACTGATGTAATCAATGTCACATAATCAATGGTTACATGTGATAGTCATGCAATCATTATCACACAGCTAGCCCTGGAACTTCCTTCTAATAGCAGGCCCAGTATTTTTTTCTGTTGTTCTATACAATAGATCCCATTCTGTCTAAAGTTAGTGGATTTCATACCAATTTCAAAAGAGCATCTTGATGTATATCATATAGAGAACTTGGTAAAAAAAATTAGTCAAATACTTAAACACTTAGGTTGCTAAAAGTTTTGACTTAGATTATTTATTTACAATGAATAAATTGGGAGAATTTTTTTATACTTCCCTTCTCTCATCTGTCTCCAGTTCATACACAGAAAGCTCTTTTATTTCGTTTCTTTATTTAAAGTCTTTTGTTTTATGCCTTTATGTCAAACAATTCAAATGTATAATTGTGTTATAAAAATGACCTAAATTAATATTTAAAATGTCATTTTTATTAAGATTTTGTTAAAAAGAGAAAACTACCCCAAAACTGATACATGCTGTAGTATTCTATAATCCATATTAATTCCTTACTAGTCTAGATTTGCAGAATAATTTTTAACCACTTGGATAGCTCTCAAAAATATATTGAAAATATAATGATTTTCCTGTGACCAAATATTGTTTTGATAGTTCAGGATCAGTGAAGACAGCCAGTAGGATAAAATTATTCAAGTTTCATAATATAAGTCATAATTTAGTCTAGGAAGCCAAAGCTGACTTTAGTTGTATAACTCCTATCTGAATTCTAAAGCTGAAAGAAATAAAAATCAAAGGGTATAGTTTATATTAGAAATAATGCATAACTTAGTCATACTTTGGATAACAAACTGAAAATATTACAGGAACATAAATCTGCAATCATCAACTTTTTTCTGTTGGGGTTTAAATTCATTCAATAATTCAACAAATATTATTTATTATGTGGCACAAAGTTATTCATGGAGTTATTGACTATATAGATCGTGTGTGTCATACATGAAAAATAAGTTAAGAAATAAATCATTTCATCTTGACTGAAATATTATATCAGTAATAAAGAGATAGTATCTTCTAGTGTTTAAAGACATTTATGGGCTGAATTTGTGTCCCGCCAAAATTCATCTATTGAAGCCCTTGTAGGGGACGGTGACTCTTAGCATATCATTTTAAAACAGAATAATTCTAGTCTTAATGCAAGCATCAAAATGTGTCTTGAGAAACATCCCAGAAGGGTTGTAAAGGGTTAACTTTGCAGTCCTGACTTAGCCGTGGAATTCTTCTCCAAAGACAAAGAACACCAGGGCCTAGATAACTTACCTATGACTTTGCCTGGGTTGTTTCATCCTTTCCCTGGCCATAGATAAACACTGTAACCATAAAGGAAATGTATGGTTATCTAAAGGGGGACATATAAAACAGAATACAGAAAGTATATATCATTGTGGTTGGGCACATGACCGGGGCCTGACCCAGTTATGACATGTGGCCAGGGCTATAACAGTCAATCTGTTACCATGGAAACCAAAAATGTATATAAGCTGGGAACAAAGGCAGGTCCAGGCCCACTTCCCAGATTGGCAAATGGAAGAGGGGGGCTAGCCTCAAATTAATAAACTCTCTCTTGTTCTTAACAGAGTTGGTCACTTGTGGAATACAACCCGAATTCTGCCATAACACTCTAACCCCTAATATAGAATGTGACTATAACTGGAGGTAGAGTCTTTAGCAGATGCCAAACAAATAAAAAGTGGTGGAAGAAAGGCAGAAAAGAAAAGAATTGAAATATAGTTTCTAAATGTACCAATTTCCTACAATAAATGTAATCACTATATACTCCAAACATGTACTAATCAAAGTTGAAAAAGAAAGATTAAATGAAGTCTAACCCCTAATATAGAATGTGACTATAACTGTAGGTAGAGTCTTTAGCAGATGCCAAACAAATAAAAAGTGGTGGAAGAAAGGCAGAAAAAAAAGAATTGAAATATAGTTTCTAAATGTACCAATTCCCTACAATAAATGCAATCACTATATACTCCAAACATGTACTAATAAAAGTTGAAAAAGAAAGATTAAATGAAGTCTAAAGGCTCTAATTTGATAGGACTGTGGCCTGATAAGGAGAGATCTCCCCACCTCACCTTCTCCATATCTTGTAGAAGGTAGCCCTCAGGAAGCAAGGAAGATAATCATCAAAGAAACCAAAGTGGTGGGCACCTTGATCTTGGGCTTCCCGGCCATCAAAACTATGACAAAAGAATTTTTTTGTTTAAATTACTTGTCTATAGAATTTTTAAAGGAAGTCCAAGTTCACTAAACAAAGAAACAGATTTTGGTTAATAAAGCAAATCTAAATCTAAACCATGTATCCATTAACTCTAAATCTTAGTTTTCCTATTTGTACAAAGGTACAAATCTAACCATAAAATCAATTTTCAGAAATAAAGATTGAAGTATATATAAATCACTTATGTGACCCAATAAATGATAACTTACTAATTTACATATCATTTACTTAAATAAATTAGTGACAGATCATATTTTCATAATTTAAAAATTACTTAAGTAATATATTTTAAATACTAATCATTTAATAATAGGCAATCCAAAGATATGTGATTTGTCTGTTACATTAGTCTTGATCTTCACCTTCAAGTTTGAGTGACTTTTGAAGAAATGCTTTTTTTTGTTTTGTTTTGTTTTGTTTTCCGGTACCAGGAATTGAACTCACGACGTTGCGCTTGCAAGGCAGGAGCTGTGCCGCTGAGCTAAATCTCCAGCCCCTTGTGTGACTTTTGAAAGACTAGTCTTGCAAGACTATTTTCTCACTTTGAATATACTATTTATATACCATTCATTTAAAAAATTTAAATATACAACCTTACTCCTTGTATAAACTTCTATACAAATATTAACTTAAGTTGCCCTCAGTACAATGTATACCACATGTAGACAACCAGTAGTACACATAGAGTGAATAGATAAATCTAAGTATTTTAGCATCACTAAAAATATTTATGATGCCCTGTCCCAATGCACATTAATACAATGACTCATTAAAAATCATCCAATCTTCATGTATGGCAAACTGGAAATATTAAAGTGAACTAAACATAGTTTTATTCTTTAAGCAGCTGACTTTCCAGGACCTAACTAAACTTTTTCACACAGTTTTTATTTATTATTTTATTTATTCCTTCAATAAATATAGTTAAGTATACACAATGTATACTTTGCACTGTTTTAGGACATTGTCATGGTTATATTGTACCAGTTATACACTGATTGGTTATATATTGTATCAGTTCAAGAAGTCTAGAAGCTTAATTAAGTAATTCAGCAGGGACCATGGTCCTCAGTTTGTAAAAATCCTCATCCTGTGCAAGAGGAGGGTATGGAGATTGAATGAGTGCTACATACACCTGCCCAGGGAGGCGGGTAGCCTGCTTCAAATATAAGGGAGGAAAAGAGGCTTGTTCTCTCCCCTTTTTGCTCTTGCTGCTTTTGCTATCTTCTGATTCTTTAAACTGTTGCCCCTTTGCCATCCCACACCACCTTGGAACCAGCTGATTACAGACTAAACCCTCCATAAACTATGAGGTAAATAAACCTTTCCTTCCTTAATTTTGGGTATTGGGGAATTTTGTCTCAGCAACAAGAGAAAAGTAACTAAAACAGGACTTGGTACCAGCAGTGGGGTTGTTGCTGTGACTATACATGACCATGTGGTTCAAGACCTTTCAGATTGGCTTGTGAGAAGAGTTTGGAAAGTTTTGGAGATGTCACCTGAAAGAGTAAAGGTGAAATACCTTAGAATGTTCTGTGTGGGAGACTCTGGTCAGAGCTTAGCAGACCAGAAGGCAGATAGAAATGCTGCTGATAAAGACTAGGTTCAGGAGGTTTCTGATGGGAAGGACTGCATTGGGTGCACTGGACTCCAGATGATGTATGTTATGGCTTGGTAAAAGTTTGTCTGCATTTTGCTCATGTCCAGAGACTTTGCCTGAGACTAAGATTAAGGGCAGTGGACCAATTAACCTGACAGAAAAAAAATTCAAGGCAGTTGAATGTTGGGGCTGTGGCATGGCTATTGTTGGGGGCTTTTAGCCAGATTTATGTTGTGAATCAAGAGCAAATAGCCCAGTCAGATGATTTAAAATGTGAGTTTGGCAAGAAAGGAAGCTCCAATAAAATTGAGAACTCAAAGATAGAGATCAGGAGATCTTGACTGTTGTGAAAGAAAAGGAGAATATAAATAATGGGCTGAAGGCATCTCAAGAAGTAGTAAGTTTCCACTCTTTGCTGCCACAAAAATGCAAAAGTGAGACTATGTTTTGAGGAGAAAGCCATAAAGCACCATATTTCAGAATGGCAGCAGCATAAAAATTTTTTTCCTTAGAATTGGATGCATAATGCCCAGGGAGAGGGACAGTCTGGCAACTGCTCCAGCTGGCAGCAGACCATGGCATCATCCACATAGCACTGGTTTTTGGTGCATGCAGAAGGCAAGAATGATGGGGCTGAAAAGGCTTCCACCTCAATTTCAGAAGGCCTAGGAGGCCAAACAGTGTGCACCTGCGAGGGCAGTGTGTGAACCTGTGAGTATGAAACCAAAGGCGCAGTGGAGACCCCAGGAATTTGGAAAAACCAGGAATATGGACCATCTAAAGAAAGCTGCAAGTAGGGAGCAAAGCATCCCCAAGACAGAATCCATGGGAGCTATAACCATCAGAAGTGAAACAGAGGTGGAGTTACCCAAGCCCTTTGGTGCTCACAATTTGCCACAGATTACTTCAGATGCTGGACATGGAAATATAGCGCTTATTGTTCGCCTTGCTGGATTTTAAACTTGCTTTGGTCCCAGTCTTTTGCATTCCCATTTGTAACTTTTGGAATGAAAATGTTTCTTTGTGCAGCTGAATGTTGGAAGTGTGTAACTTTTCATTTGTACAGGGGTTTTCAGCTAAGAATTTGCCTTACATCTTAGAGGAGAATTGAGACTTAGACTTTTCAGCAATTAGGACTTTGTCAACTCACAGAGATGGATTAAATGCCTTTTGCATAAAGGGAAGTGCATGAGTTTGGGGGATCCAGGGGTAGAATGTTATGGTTCTAATGTAATATAATATTCATAGACTTAATACTAGTCTTAAGGATTGTTAAATGTCTGTTTTATAATGTTCAAGTTGTGAAATGATAAGAATAAGCATGTCTTTGTATCTGGACTGGTTTAAAGAAATGTGTCTGGTTGCCAACTTGACAAGGAGTGGATTGTTATGGTTGATACATTGTGTCAACTTGAGAAGTCTAGAAGCTTAACTAAGTAATTCAGCAGGGGGTTGGATCCTCCTTATGTAAACATGTTCATCCTGTGCAAGAGGAGGGCATGGAGATGGTGTATTTACTACATACACCTACCCTAGGGGTAGCTAACCTGCTTACAAGATAAAGGAGGTGAAAAGGCTTGCTGTCCCTTTTTGCTCTTGTTGCTTTTGCTGCCTTCTTCTGCCTTGAGGTGTTGCCCCTGTGCCATGCCACTCTGCTTGGGAGCCAACTGATTACAGACTGAAACCTCCACAAACTATTAGCTAAATAAAGCTTTCCTTCCTTAATTTTGGCCATTGGGCTATTTTGTCTCAGCAAAGCGAAAAGTAACTAAGACAGATGTGAACATACAGCTATATTGTACTTGCTTGTTTACTTCTTTATCTTTCTTCTCTTGGGAATATTTACTAACTAGACACCTTTGGGAACACTGTAATAAATAGTACAATTAGACAGAGAAATAGCATGTACACCACACTCCATATCTGACCCTATAGTAGGCACTGTTAACTAAATAGGGTTATTAATCCTTAAAATTCTGAATGTGATCTTAAAATCCTTTTGATCACAGTATTCACATGAGCCATGACAAATTAAAAAAAAAAGTTCAAATATCTATTTCAGCCTCTGAGTAAATGGAGAAGAGAAGGGATATGTTATAATCCCACATCAACAAACAGAGAATAAAATGCACAGATCTAAAGGTCAATTTTGTAAAGACATCAATTTAGGGAGGAAGCAAAGAGGACCGAATCAATTGTTTTCAAAGACAAAATATTTCTTCTTAGGAAACATGAGACAAGCGGCTTTGTCTATTGAAAGTATTTGCTAACTCTTTTTAAGTAATAAAGATACAGCTTTACCTAAGTAAAAACAAAAACTATTACTAGAAAGAAGAGAAATTAACAGAGCTTTGGGTGGCCCAGGAGATCCAACCATGAGTGATGTATGGTATAAAGCAAAGGAACAACTTTTGCTTTCTTGCAATACTTAGGAGAAAAAGCTCTGCTAAAAGAAAGGATCTGTAATGAACACAAGACTTATTTTTACCTGTCCCCACATTATAAAAGGAATAAATTTAACATAAGATGGAATTCAGCCCCTATCCAGCTAAATTACCAATGGAACTGAGGTGTTCTGCTCTCAGTCTATCAGCACAACAGCAGAAAGACAAATCCTGTCTGAGAGAAAATAACATCAATCTCCCTCTCTATAGTTCTGGGGTGTAAAAATAAATACGAGACATCTAAATGTAATTGAAAATAAAAAAGAGTAAATCAGAGTACATAAGGATACTGACATGAAAGTCATTATAATAAACAAATAAAGGCTTAAAATAATTAACAAGAATAATTTTAAATAAAGAAGAAAAATGATGTACAGAATGGAAGAAAAATGAGTGTTGCTACATATAATTAGAATCAACATAAAAATCCAATGGAGCATTCTACAGCTGAAGAAATGCATATAAATTTAAATTTAAAAGCTGTTGATAGGCTTAACATCTGGTTGGACTGTAGTAAATTATTAGCAGATAAACAGAAAAATACTCAAACCAAAGCATAAAGAAAAAAATAGAAATGGAAAGAATGGAACTGAATATTAATGAATATAAAAGGTAATTAAAAGAGAAAAACATGATTTCTAAAGGTGATCCATTTGAGGCACAAAATTTAGAATCATTTATTCTCAGATTTCTGCATAAAACTGTAATTCTACAGAATTAGAGTGAAAAGGAAAATCATTTGAGAATCTTAAAATGCTTGTAAATTAAGCAGCATACTTCTAAATAACCAATGGTTAAAAGAAAAACCAATGGAAATGATACAGTAAAGCTAATAAGTTAAAATAACAATTAAATGGACATAAATATATGTCCAGTTCAAATATATGGTATATTCACCCAAAGTTATGGTAATAGTTAAATAGTATCTATTTAACTAAGCCTTAATTGATTTTAATTAACATGGCATAAGGATATTGGTGTAGCACAATACAAATGAATTTCATTTTTGTTATAGTTGCATACCTACTATTTGGTAGAACATAAATTACTAATGAGTTTATTTCCAGATATTTTGGGGGAAAGTTCCCTACTAAGTGCAATTAAGATGTTGTATTAGCTAATTTCCCACCACTGGGAAACAACATTCCCAATACCCACAACTTCAAGTAAGAGAGGCCAATTTAGCTCACAGTTTTCAGGGGATTCAGTGCAACAAGGCAGAAGCACCACGATGGAAAACCCTGGCATAGGAAAACTGCTCACCTCTGCATCAAGGAAGCAGAGAGAAAAGAGAGAACATATTCTTCCAGGTGATGTCCCAGCAGCACTCATCCAGCTCATCTTACAGCATTCTAAGGCTTCTCTGTCTGATGTCTCCAAATCTTTCAAAATTCCTCCAGCCAACCAATTCCAAAGGTTTCTGAACCGTATAGTCAGGTGCAGTCACAGCAAAGACCCTACTTCTCTGGTACCAGTTTTTTGTATTAGTTACTTTCCCATAATGGGGACACTATACCCAAAACCCAGGGCTTAAAGAAGGGGTTTATTTGGTTCACAGTTTCCAGTGAGTTCAGTCCACGTTTGGCTGGCTCCAAGGTAAAAACAGCAAGGTGGAAGGGCATGGGGCAGAACAGCTGCTCACCCCATAGCAGCCAAGAATCAGAGACAGAAGGAAGGTGCAGAGGAAAGAATATACTCTTCAGAGTATCCCCCTAGTGACTCAGCCCTCTGGTCTGACCCCCTCCTTGGGAGACCATTTTAGTTTTTACCATAACACATATGTATTACAATAATTTGTCATAATAGCTAAATCTTGGAAGCAGCCTATATGTCCACCAACAGATGAATGATAAATAATAAGTGGTATTTACATACAATAGAGCACTACTCTGCCATAAAGAAAGATAAGCCTGAGCCATTTGTAGAAAAGGTATGCACCCTGAGACTATTACGTGATGTGAAATAAATCATACACATAAGCTTAAATATCTCATGGTTTTTCTTATATGAGAAAATAAAAATGAAAAGCAAAATAAAAGATAGATAATAAGAAGTAGGGAGATAAATCTTTCTCTACAAGGGCAAGAGATAAATCTTTCTCTAGAAGGGCAAGAGTGGGGAGAAGGCAATAAAAAGGGATAAAAAAGGAGTCAAAATATGTTCTATACATATGCCAATTCCCCACCAGGAAGGTAAACAATATGTACTGCAAACATGTACCAACAAAAAAGTTTTAATATAATATATGTAGATTCCCAGCAGTGGAGAGTTTAGAATTTCTGATGTTCTTCTCTGCAGTTGTCATACATCGATTTTTAAAAATTTTCTAATCAAATTTATTAAGGCATAACTTACATAAAATAATGTATCAACTATGAAAGTAAAATCTGATGAGTATGCCATACACACACACACAGACACACACACACACATCTTTATACCATAACCACAGCTGAGATAAGGAACATCTGTATCACCACAAAAGTTCTACTCTCCCTCTGCTTTATATCTCTATGTATCGAATTTTTCTCTTCTAGGGTTTTCTAAAAAGGAGAGTATAAGCTCTTTTATACTTTGTTACTTTCAGTCAACTCAATATAATGTTGTATCCATCAGTAACCTTCTTTCTATTGATGAATGCAATTCTATTATGTGACTATACTACAGTATAACAATATACACATTTACTGACCCGCTTGTAGGCATTTGGATTGTTTCTATTTAGAACCTACTATAAACAGAGCTGCTGAAGTTATTTATGTACATATTTTCCTATGGACATGTCTAGTATCTCTTGTGTACAACTGTAAAATAAAATTATTCAGTCAACTATTAATGAACATATGGCTGTTTTTAGTTTAGGTCTGTTGTTAGAATATATATATATATGATATCATATTACATATAATATGTATATTGGAATATATATTAGAATTATATAATCTATAGATATATCTATATATATATAATATATAGATATACCTAGATATATCTATATATATCCCTCTGTGTGTGTGTGAGTGGTACTGGGTATTGAATCCCTGACCTTCTTATTGAGCTATATTCCCAGCCATTTTTACTAATTTTTTATTCTGAGAAAGGGTCTCATTAAGACACTGCATATATTCTTATGTGTATGTTAGTTGATATGTTATTTCTTTTTCCTGGTTAGATATTAAGTAAAATTGCTGGATAATATGGTGAATATATGTATAACCTTGTTTTAAAAACTGTTGAACTATTTTTGCAGAGTTAATATGACATTTTACATTATTTCAGTCAGTAATTTACTACAGCTCCAGTTGCTCCACATCCATACCAACACTTAATCAACATTTAAATTTGGACCATTGTAGTGGATATGCAGTGGTTTTAAATTTGTATGTCCCTGATAATTTGTATGTGGATGTGTTTATTAACAATTTGTATATTTTCTTTTCCACAGTGTCTGTTAAAATCTTATGACCAATTTTTAAGTAGCTATCTTTGGTCATGTTATTATTTATTTGTATGAGGTATTCACATCATCTAGATGCAAGTCCTTTATCAGATATATGTATGGTGAATGTTTTCTGTCTGTTGATTATTTTTTCAGTCCTCTGAGTAGAAGTTTTTAAAGATGATATTCTATGTACCAAGTGTGGATGGCTCATTATTTCTACACCTTACTCAGGAAATTTATAGTTAAAAGAAGGTCATAGATATTTTTTCTAGGTCTTCTACAAATTTTACGATTTTAGTTTTTTAGATTAGATCTAAATTTAGATCTATAAATGATTTCAAATTAACCTAAATTTAGATCTATAAATGATTTCGAATTAATTTTTGTGTGTACAGTATGAGGAAAAATACCTACCTATTTGAATATTTCTTGCATGGATTTCTGCTGTTTTGTATACCTCCTACCTTTCAAGAGTCATTGCCTAAAATGTCAGCTTCTGCAGACTCCCTTATCTCTGACATCTGTCCCCTCAATTTAGCAAGGTCATTGTGCTCTCCTTTGGATTTCCTTCTCTATAGTGAGGCTTTAAATTGCCTCGGAGGAGAAATCCAAAATTACTATAGATCTTACATTATTTTTCCCATTTACTCAGTTATCTATTTTCAGTTATCTCAGCTCTAATTTCTAAGGTCTGAAATTATTGTTTCATGTTGTTTTGCCCTATTTTCCATATCTTTGTGGAGAAAGGGTAATTTCATTCATTTCCATAATGACTACAAATGGAAGCCTATGTACTTATAATTTAATCATTAGTACGCTTTCCAAAGGTCCTCCACAAATAGGCATATAACAGTGGCGGCAAAGCTATGGCATGCATGTTATTGTGCTTTTCTTATAAGACAAAAGATGTTAATGTAGTCTTTTTTTCTAAACTAAAATCTCAGTCACTTTGAGATAAATAAGAGGGTAAAATAAGCAGGTAGGCTGGATGGGCTCCTGTAGGTCCAGAGAAAAAAAAGCTGGAAGAAAGGTGATATAGGTTGCGGGTCACACCCACGGTGACCTGCCTCTACCAACCAGGCCTCGCCTTCTAAGGGCAAGTCAGTTACAATGTCCCTATAATTCAGTCATCTTCCAAATGCCCCACCTATGATCATATGAGATTTTAGGGGGACATCTAGATACCAACCATAGCAAATGGTCTTCTGCTCCTATGCTCTTAGTAATTTACTTTCTTCTACCTTGAATACTTGTAGCCTACTGCTTGTTATTGTGTCATTAACCTATGTCTTCACTGTTAATCCTCCAAACACTGTGCAGACATATTCTCTTCCAGCAAACTTTCTCTTCAAGGTAAAAGTACAGCCTCTCTAAATTCTGTTTCTACCTTCCGACTGTACTGAAATTATGACATACACCATATCAAATTAAATGTATGCTGATCACGTCCCTCCTTTTTGGTTCTGTGGGTGGCTACCACTGAGTTTAGCACACAATAACTATTTAACATTTGTTAAAACTATAATTACAGCTAATAGCATTCATGAATTCATTGCTTAAATTATGAATTCTTCACATTTTTAGTGAATTATACTCACTACAGACATATACTATTCATATTTCATATATTTTTGAAATACAAAATTAGAATATTATGAATCTTCACTAGCCATAATTCAGGTTCAATAATCATCACATATATTTTTAAAAGTAGGAAATCTAATAGAAATTTGGTCCCATATCAAGTTGATCTGTTGTCATCAGGGATTTGTATGTAAAAAGGGGATACAAATCCAGGCCTCTGGGATCTTAGTTTTCATGAATTTTAACAGCAATAAAGAGAAAACCACTCTCAAAAAGAGCCATAAACTACTATGAGTGACCAAGAAGTGAGAAAATGGGGTTTTATCATAAATTAAAAACTGAAAAACATTTCACAAATGTCCTAAATGGCCAATACATGCAATAGGACCTGCCCGTAAAGGCAATTCTGGCCACTTATAATTTAAGAGAAAGCTCAGAGATGTTTTTTAATGGCCCTCTTCAGTGTTAGCAATAGAAAAAACCTATCCCTGGATTCTTGCTAAATAGCCTTAAGTAAAGATTATAGTAATTTGAATTAATTTACCCCAAATAAAAGCAGAGGCCTAAAGATCTGCTGAGATTTCAGAGTTGCTTCCAGCACAGTGAGCAGGATCACCAGACCAGACCTCTCCCTCTAGGCCACAGGATGTCTTCTGTTCTGGTGAGGCTGGCGGAATGGGGCCGGGGGCTGTTAGAAAGCTCTATAATCTAAATCATAAGCAAAGGTGCACGCTTTAAATGGGAGAAGAATCAAAGAACAAAGGCTCAAACTGTACTTGATTATGGACAGAAGCAAAAAAGCAGTAGTACCTTGATGGTACCCACCCTCCCCCCACTCCATCACTCGGGTAGGCAAAGGCCGGAACTACACTTCCCAGAATGCAAAGCGCGGGGCTGGCTGACGTAAATTATTACCTCAAATTGGCTCGGGGCGTTTCAGATTTGATTATATTCTGTAAACTCCAGTCCTTTTGCCACGGCAGGCTCCCGCCTCAGCCTAATTGGTTCGGCAGCCCGTGCGTGGGAAGGCGGCTCTGTTGTCACTGGCAGCTGTTGAATGGAGGCTCTCGGTCTGCGGCATCTCGGTAGTTGAAGTCCGTGATGGGATCCGAGCGGTAGCGTTTAGGGCTGTGTTAGGGATAGAGGACTACATTTCCCAGGGGGGAGCGGGGCCGCTGGCGGCCTGGGGGCGGAGCCTTGCGTAAGGTACAGTCATACCAAGCACCTTCGGCGGGACTGTAATGGCCGGAGAGATGACGATCTTAGGTCAGTGCCCACCTGGTCCCTGGTCCCTGTAGTTGAGGGGGGTGTCGGCGAAGCCTGGGGAGGCCGGAGTGGGCGGGGTGGTTGTTTCCCTTCGTGGAGCCACCTGACGCAGCGGGAGGGGAGTTGGAAAGGTGACTTCGGAGCTGGTAGGGTGGGCCCTGATGAGGGAGCGCGCTGCGTCTGCCCTAGGGACATCGAGCTGGGCGATTTGTTCTTTCCAACCGACGCTCGGCTCAGAATTGCTGGCTGGAGTCCGGCCTCTGGAAGGCTCCCAGGACCCCTTTTGTAGAGGAACGGGGAGGACCAGCATCAGCATCCCGAGCTGTAGACGCCTGGGTTGCTGAGCCCGGGAGGAGTTTGAGAAGATGCCCGTCCCGGTACCCTTTCCACCAAATCGTGTTGGGAATCGCCTTCCCCGCCTAAAGTGCTGAAATGCATCTGAAACTTACCTGTAGGTGTAAGAGGGAGGTGGGGTTGGCACTGGGGTTCATTGTTTTGAGTGAGTGTAGAGGATGAGCTGACAGTAGTGGTACTGTACTGCAGACTGACGTTTTGGGGTGTATGTAAGGTCAGTGGAAGCAGGCGTATAGCACAGCCTCCTGAAACTAGAGTAATTTTAAATTTACAGTGCTGCATTTCTTCACTTACGTTTGCCGTAGCTGTGCCATTGGTTCATATTCAGTTGTTTTCCTTTCCTTAATTAGTATTTGCTGAGCATCTGACATGGAGGATATAATAGTGAGGCAAACGTGCCTCCAAGGAGCTTGCATATATGTTGCCATCAACGTTGCCTACTTTTATACTTCTAAATACTAAATATTTTGCTCTAAATAAACCTTGAAATATTTATTTAAATGGTAGCTCTGCAAGAATTGTGACCTTAATTCATATTTAATGACATAAAAAAACTAGCTGTGCTCTGTTATAAAGTGACAGTTTAATACCTAAGCAACTGTAAAAATTATTGTCTCCAGTTTATCCATTTGCAAGGGAAAAGGAGTTAAGAAAGATAATTTTAGCTTTACAGTAACAAAGCTTTCAATGTGAGAGTTTCAGTAATGGAGTTTCCTTTTAGTAATGATAACTAAAGGTATTTAGAAAGCTGTAAAATCTAAGTATCAGTTCACCAAACAATTCAACCACATCTGGCTCTTGTTTCAGATAGTTTTTCTAGTCAACCTCAGCAGTATTATTACCGAAATATTATACATTTTATTTTCTTGTTCTCTTGTTAGTGAACTACATAAACGTTCAAGGACTTTTTGTGTTGCCATTACTTCATTTTTAATTGTTATAGACCGTTCACATTATGAAAAACGTGATGTATAAGAGAAGTGTTACTAGTTCTATAAAGTAGGATGTGTATTTTTGATCTTGTTTTACAAAGTGGTATTAAGAGGTCTTTGCTAAAGTTCTTCGTCTGATGAAAGGTATCTTAATCTGCCTGTTTTCAGGATCGGCTGTTTTGACTCTCCTGTTGGCTGGCTATTTGGCACAACAGTATTTACCACTGCCCACTCCTAAAGTGATCGGCATCGACCTAGGCACCACCTATTGTTCCGTGGGAGTGTTTTTTCCTGGCACAGGAAAAGTAAAGGTGATTCCAGATGAAAATGGGCATAACAGTATACCCAGCATGGTGTCCTTTACCGACCATGATGTATATGTGGGATATGAGAGCTTAGAACTGGCAGATTCAAATCCTCAAAACACAATATATGATGCCAAAAGATTCATAGGTAAGATTTTCACCCCTGAAGAGCTTGAGGCCGAAATTGGCAGATATCCATTTAAGGTAAGAGGTGAATCCAAAATCTTTCTTAAAGTTTATTACAACTGTTTCAGTTCCTGTTTTAATATCACCTTACAAAACATTCAGTCTCAACTGGCTTAATCTCTGTTGGAGTTACATTAGTTCACTTACGGAATTCCACAGCAGCTCCAGGATGAGTTAAATCAGTGACTACCCGGTGCTATCAAGGACTTAGTGCTTACCAGGTACTTGCACTGCCATCCTCAGAATGACTGCTTTGCTCTTTCTAGGTAGCACAAAGGTTCATGAAGCACCGTGTGCTTACTATAGACAGGCAGTGTGTGTGAGTGTGTGTGTACATGTTTGTATACATATAAAGAGCTCACACTAGACATGGTATTTTCTAACTTACTTAAAACTCAACAATATCCATATACAATTAGGAAGTTTGCATCATCTTTTAATAATCATGTACAATGACTATTCCTTTATTTAATGATTAGTCTCTTATCAGTATACAATATCTTATTTTCCTGATATCACAATAATGTTGGAGGTTGGGCAAATATTCATGTATGCACTTCTAGGTCTGTTACTTTGTTCATTTTTAGCTTCTTTCTTAGGAGTTTTACAATCTTTATGTAATGATAAAATAATCTAAAGCTATACCTTTACTCTAATTAAAACTTTGGAATCATTACTTACTGATCTAAGAGTTATTTATTTTATGTTACAGTTTTTAGGTGATTTGATTCTTTTATTGTTTCCCATAGGACTAGTATCTTTGAACGTTTTATTAATAATGTCTGTGTAGCTTGGATTTGTCCCATTCTGGTGAAATAATTTTGTAGAAAATAAGATTTTCTGGATTAAAATCTACTTTATAAGATTTGGAATGACTGGTAAAAAATTCTTATGATTTCTTAAATTAATTCTCTTTACTATTGCTAGTAATATAATCTGTTGATAAAACTAGGATACTGTGTTTGAGAGTTAATCTAGCTTTTAAATAAAAACCAGCATTAGCCAGAATGATGAGTTAACATACAATACATATTTTCATGGAATTAAGAAGGTAAGTGATATGTGCTTCTTGGATAACAACATAATGAAGTATTAAAATTTTTCTCTTAGGTAGCTATTATTTTTGGATACAAGTTAATTGGGAAAAAAAGGAAAAGGGAATATCCTAAATTATAATCATGGTTGAGCAACTGATACCCCCTATATTAATCCACCTTTATCTATGATTTTGCATTTTACTTTCCACTGTCCAAAAATATTAAGTAGAAAATTACAGAAATAATTCATAAATTTTAAATTGCACACCTTTCCCAGTAGCATGATGAAATATTGTACTGTCCTATGTAGTTCCACCTAGGATTGTATCATTCTTTTGTCTGTTGTGTACGCTGCTGGTCTGCTAGTCACCTAGTAGTGGCCATCTTGTTTTATCAGATGAGATAGCCATTTGATAACCCTTGTTTTATTTATTAATGACTATAAAATGCAAGAGTGGACTATGTAGGGAATGGAAACAGTATAATAAAATGCAGTGGGAATTTGGTGGTTTAATAGAGGGTAGGCAGTTGGCTGGTGTGGCCAATGCAGCATTAGAAAGTCACAGAGTTCTTCTGGCAGCTTGGAGATCCCATAAAATGCCTTCTTTAAGTGAAAAATCTTCCACTGACGGTCTTGAAACTTAGCCCCTGCAGATAACGCATTTCCATTCATTAAATAAATATATCATGGAATATTCTGTGTTGTAGTTATGTGCTTGGTAATGAATTTTATTGTGCTGTTGCTGAAGACTATAATGTAAGTTCATTTTACAGATTCAGGTCTAGCATTTAAAAAGCTCTAGTCTTAGCAAATATACTGGGTAGATTATAATTAATGAAATATTTTAAAGATCAAGGTAAATTTTTATTAAGTAAGTCCATTATATATTGTGAAACTATATATGTACATATGTATGTACACGTTTTTTTTTTTAATTATTCTTCACAGGTGTTAAACAAAGATGGAATGGTTGAGTTTTCTGTGACAAGTAACGAGACCATCACCGTTTCCCCGGAATACGTTGGCTCTCGACTGTTGTTGAAATTAAAGCAAATGGCAGAGGAGTATCTTGGAATGCCAGTCGCCAATGCTGTCATTTCTGTCCCAGCAGAATTTGACCTCAAACAGAGAAATTCAACAGTTGAAGCTGCTAACCTTGCAGGTAATGGCACCCTTGCTTGCATTGTACTTTTCTGAAGATGTTGAGTTTGAAAATCTTGTGTGGCAGGTTTGTCACTTTGTAAATTACAGCTGTAGGCACATAAACTATGCAGTAGGTAAATTAGATGAATTTTTATATATCTTTAAAAATGATACTTATGAAAGCTGTATAACAATGTAAAAATATGTAATTTAGAAGAAGAGCGAATCAGATGCATGACAAAGGCTGAGAAAGAACAGACACATACTAATATTGAGGCATTCTTTTTCTTCTAAAACTGTCATTAAAGTGAATTTAATGATTTCAAAAAACACTGAAGTAAAAGTTCGTTTAAACTATTCAACAAATATTAAATCCTTTAACAAATAACAGGTAAGTCTTGTTCTTCTGTAGATCATATTTGAAGGGAAACCGAGTAAGCTTAAATAAACATAAAATCAGATTCAGTGGTTAGGTTCAATGTTGACCTTATGGGGAAATTTAATTTGGTTCTCATGTAGTTCCGTTTGCAACTAGCATAGTGGAAAGAATTAAGTTTGTGAAAGGAGGTACCACATTTGAGTAGGATAATTCTTCGTTGTGAGGAACTGTCCTGTGCATTACAGGGTATTACCAGCATCTCTATTCTCTACTTAGTAGCTACTACGTGCATCCTTCACTACCAAGAGATGAGAGTCAGAAATGCTTTCATTCATTACTATGCTTCCTGGGAGTAAAATCACCTCTAGTTGAGAAACACAATACTGAGGTGTATGCGACAGCAACATGGTATACACAAGAAGTGCCGGATAAAGAGATTGCTGGTGATGGTCAGGGGATGGGGACTTCCAAGTTTTAGAGTGGTCAGGTGCATCTCTTTCAGAAAGATTCGACAGAGTGAGGTAGTTACCCATGGAGACACATGGAGGAGGTGGACTATATAGGGAGTGGAAACAGTGTAACAAATTGCAGTGGGAATTTGGTGGTCTTATAGACCATAGGAAATTGGCTGGTGTGGCCAGTGCAGAGTTAAGGAGTCCCAGAGCCACAGAGAAAGGTACCAAGAGTTCTTCAGAGTTTGAATATTGTTATGGCTCCTGACAGATAATGGCATATTACTTTGAAGACCACATTTTTCAAGTGTGAAAGTTTAAAGCAAGAATTCTGTTCAAGGGGTCTTATCTTTTAAGTATACAAGACAAGGTTATCTCATTTCCACAGCAATTAGTTATCATGTATATTGATTAAAGCTTTATTGCTTATGTGTTCTCACTTAGAATATGAGTATTAAGAAAGGCTGGGGGACTTTGAAAATTAAATATTAATAAAGAATAGAGATAGCATACTTCACTAAGCCTGGAGTTTTATTTCTTTATATTGAAGTTTTTAGAACAATTTTAATGGCACTATGGTATTTAACAGGACCTATGTTTATCATTCACATTTCATTATTTCTATTGAGTTTGTGACTGCTTTTGTTGTTATGCAGTGAATTTCATGTCATAAAAGAAAGAAACAAGTTGTGAGGTTAAGTAAGATAGAATTTTTTAATAGCATTCTCTCCTGAATTATTTTTCCCCTCAACCAATCTTACAGGACTAAAGATTTTAAGGGTGATAAATGAACCCACAGCAGCAGCTATGGCCTATGGTCTCCACAAGGCTGATGTTTTCCACGTCTTGGTCATAGACTTGGGAGGAGGAACTCTAGATGTGTCTTTACTAAATAAACAAGGAGGAATGTTCCTAACCCGAGCAATGTCTGGTAAGAAAATAAGAATTAGAGGCTGAAGCAGTACTTTTAAAAAAATAATTAATGTGTAATGTTTGTTTTTGTTTTGTTTTGTTTTCAGAATTATTTGACCTTATTTTGTAATTTTCTGTATGTGTTATTTATGTCACTAATTTACGTGTATTTATAGAAGTGAACAGCCAGATCTAAAACATTGACCCAGTAGGGCTTTCATGGTGATGGTGAGCAGAGGGTAAAAAGTTCTTTTAAAGTGAAGAGTGATCAGTTCATTTTATTTGGTCATATATTTATAAAATGTATTTTTTTTTTTTTTTGGTTTTGGTTTTCTTCTGGTACTGGGAATTGAACTCACGACCTTGCGCTTCCAGGCAGGTGCTGTGCTGCTGAGCTAAATCCCTAGCCCCTTAAAATATGTATCTTTAGAAAATCTAAGTTAGTGTTCCCCAAGAAGTGATAGTTTTCATTCTATATTTTTCTCTTTTTCTATCAGTTTTGGTTAAGGGATTGAGATTGTTTACACATTGAGCTGTAAGTTATAGTTGTAACTTCTACATTTTTTTTCCTCTTAGCTGGACTCTGTCTCAAACCAAGTTAAATGTTGGAGATGTGTATTACATTACTCTTTTCATTGAAAAATCATCTTTTCTACTTTTCAGTACTTAATCATGCAAGCAAAAGGATGGAATAAAAAACCCTAGTGGTACTTTTAAGTTCTGAAAAGCATTTTTTGCTTCTGAGAATGGTGACATACAGTGTTTCTAAATAGCTACCCAATAAACCAGCAGTATAAAAAGTTATCATTAGGTATTTCCTTTTATATGATTTAAAAATGTTAACTGGTGTATATCTGGGGTAAAATTATTTTATGTTTCCTCTTTTTAATCCATGTTTGTATGAATGCAATCAGTGTATTAAAAAGGAATTTGTTATTCATTGAATATAATTTTTATATATAAATAAATATGTATATATATATATATATATATATACACACACACATACATGGCTGTGTAAGTAAATAGAAACTTTTTATTTTGTCACTTAGGAAACAATAAACTTGGAGGACAGGACTTCAATCAGAGATTGCTTCAGTACTTATATAAACAGATCTATCAAACATATGGCTTCTTCCCCTCTAAGAAAGAGGAAATCCACAGATTAAGGCAAGCTGTGGAAATGGTCAAATTAAATCTGACTCTTCATCAGTCTGCCCAGATGTCAGTATTGCTAACTGTCGAGGAAATGGACAGAAAGGAAGCTCAGGGCGAGGACACTAAATGGCCAAAGGACAAACTTAGCCCAGCAGATCACCACCATGTGAACAGAGCATTTGGACCTGACCCTTCTGAAAAGAAAGGTAGAGAAAACCAGGTTTTATTTGAAACAGAAATATCTCGGAAGCTCTTTGATACCCTCAACGAAGATCTTTTTCAGAAAATCCTCGTGCCCATTCAGCAAGTATTAAAAGAAGGCCATCTAGACAAGACTGAGATCGATGAGGTGGTTTTAGTTGGGGGTTCTACTCGTATTCCTCGAATCCGCCAAGTCATTCAAGAGTTCTTTGGGAAGGATCCCAACACGTCTGTAGACCCCGACCTGGCAGTGGTAACGGGGGTGGCTATCCAGGCGGGGATTGATGGAGGGTCTTGGCCTCTGCAAGTCAGTGCTTTAGAAATTCCCAATAAGCATTTACAAAAAACCAACTTCAACTGAATTCTGGAAGAATGATGACTGTTTGTGATCTGTCTAATGATCTCTTTCCCCTTAACAGACCACCTGCTCCTAAAAAGAAAATCTCTAATGTGGCTCACAGATTCACCCACAAGGCAACATTTACATTTTATGTAGAATTTTATTTTAGGATTCAGTGTGACCAAATGGATCCTATTTGATTTTGCAGAGGTCTTCTTCCAACAAACACTTCAAAAATGTTAGAATTGAAAAACTTCTTAGAGGAACATAGGTGGCTGTACTTATTGGATTCTGGAAATAGATAAACATACGCATCTAACATTAAATAGTGCCAATTGTGAGATACCCAGTTCTTACTAAATTGTATTAGTAGGACTTGGTAATTTCTTTACTTGTATATCACATGTAACTTAATTTGGTCTATACTTGAAGGACAGTGTTGATGTCAGGTATTTACATGAGCTGGGAGATAGCAGTATTATTAAACTGCATATTTAATACTAGCTGGCTTACACATTTACTTTCACAGTGCAGTATCCCATTATGGGTTATATTCTTTCAATCTATGGTCTCCAGATTATTTTAATGTATTTAATAAATCAGTTTATTTTGTTTCTAAAATAGCTACATTTATGGAAATTTTCTATGGTAGAAGTAGAAATATCCAATTTATATTATAGTTCCTTTATTTGCTGTGTTATCGTTCTCTGGGTTTCCATGGTTCTGCCTGGTTAAAAACCAGTAGAGAATTTTTAATTGCATTTTTTGTTTTGTTTTGTTTTGTTTTTTTTCTGGTACCGGGAATTGAACTCACGTCGTTGCGCTTACCAGGCAGGCGTTGTGCCACTGAACTAAATCCCCAGCCCCTTTAATTGCATTTTTAAATGTGCCATTGTCACAATAAAGCCACCATTATTATCTCATTTTTGTTATCCAAAACTTTTGCATACATTGGTAAATAGCATTAATTCCTACTATATTTTATGCTTTTATTTTGTTTTTATTTTCAGTAAACTCTAGAACCTGTCGCATGCATGCATTTAACCTATCAAGTGTTACTCAGTTTTACTGAAATTTTCCTCCATATTTAGTTTTGCATGACTAAATTCAAACTGTAAGAGGCCTGTTATTTGATATTTTTTTAAATAGTTGTAATGTTTTCATACAAATGTTTAGTGTATGATGAGCAAAAAAATTGTGAATACTGGAAATAATTCAAATGTGAAAAGCAATGTAGAAAATTTTATTACAAATCAGCACTTATAGCAATTGTGTTTATTTTGTTTCTGAGAAAAGTCACAGGGACCAAGAAAGATAATCTATCAGTTTAATTGCCATGATTTCAGATAATGTATTCTTCTGTCCTTTGCTAATACAGGCTTCATGTTAGTGTTGCAAAATTATATTTGGGTTACTCTTTTTGTTAATCTAGAATATATGTGCTTTATCCAGTGTTGAATTTGAAAGGATGTTGAGTTTCCAGTGACTAAAGAATGAAGCAAATTTATTTCACCAACATCAAAACATTTCAGCTTTTCATAATAAAAACGTGAATAGTGTTAAGACTTCTTTGCAGATCTAAAAAGACAAATATTTCTTAGAAGTGAAATTGCTGTTAAAACATAAACTTCATCAAATACTTTTGTGTACAGAAAATGTGTAGTAGAAAGATAGGAAAATGTAAAATATTACGTATTTAGAACTAATGGAGAAATGCCAAAGATGAATCCTTCACTGCATTATGAAAATAATCAAGTATTCTCTTGGACTTTGTTTAAAGCCTTTATATATTTTAGAATTGAAAATTATCATGGTGAAAGTCTTTGATACAAAGTGTTGAATTTCGCTAAAAATTCTACATATAGTATCAGCTTTAACCTGAAGCATTTTAAGATTTAAAAAAGTCTCAGATATTTAATATGGTTCAAGGCACTCTGTTAACACTTTTAAAAGGAAACAAATTGCAAAACTGGGCAACTAATCTCATACTAGAATAGGAATTTAAATAACTTGTGTTGAAAGACAGAATGGCAGTGTTAGAAATTGAGGGCAATCGCTTAGCATATTCTCTGGAATAGTTATACCTTTGTAAAAAAAGGAGTTTATGTCGTCTGTCATGTTTTATGGAGCTGTATGCATAAAACTGATAGCAGTGTTTATTTAAAAGGCAGTGCATTCTAAAAGGGATTATTCATAAGTAAAAACCTGAAAACTTTTTCCTTAAAATGAAATTTTTTGTTGTACATTTGGCTAGAGTTTTTGAACTATATAACTTTTAAAATACTAAATGTCTTGTGTGATTAGAATGTGAATGAGTAATTTATTTTTTACAGGGAATGTGTTGGTACTGTGCTTTTACTCAAACCACTAACCAACAGGTACTACTGTATGTATGTAATACGTAGTGAGCATTACAATTCATGTACAGAACATATTGTGCCTCTAAATCTGTGTATATAGGTACTTCACATTTTAATGTAAATAAATACCATTTGCAGTCTTTTCTTAAACAGTGTGCTTCTTTTTTCATTCAGGATGTAGCCACAGTACATTTTTGAGGTATATAGAGACAGAAGTGGGGATAGAGTTGGTCTGATACTTATGCCCTCAACCTCAGTAATTATAGGCTCGTTACCAAAATGTACATTTTTCTGCATCCTGTCTCTGAGAATTCTGATATAGTTTCTACTTACTAATGTAGAAGGGATAATGCCTATAGGAACTTAAATTCTGAGTAGCAGTTCATGTCTTCTGATTATAATGGAGCCAACAGTTAAGCTTATTTATATATTCAGTAAATGACCCTTTGTAACAGACTACTGTAACCCTTTTGGAGATGGCTAATACTTACTTTTCTAGTGGTTTGTGTTTTCTTTGGACAAAGATACAATCTTTTAAACCTGTTTGATTAATGTAGTCTTTTTAAATGAACACTTGTGGAATGTAGACTTGTTCTTTAGGACTTCGTTGTTTTTTCCTCGTTACTTAAACTACTTTGGTGAAGGACTCAAATTATAGTGACACTTAAAATTCAGCAAACACCTACAACACGTGCTCTTAAATTTAACAAATACTCAGTGACTCACTGAGGTAAGCAGCCTCTAATATGGTCCTAGTGTAGACCTTTGGGTAATCCTCTTGTTATGAATTTGGAGAAGACTGAGTCATTGGTAGTGAACAATATGGCAGAAGTGCTGGGATGTCACTTCCAAAATTAAAAAATGACTTCTGTCTTGGTTGCATCCCTTTCTTGGAGCTCAACCCTTGATGGATGGGATCTGCCTTGATGAATAGGTTTATTCTCCCCTCTCTGCTCTCACTCTCCCCTCCTTTCTCTCATGCTCTGTCTGCCTTTCACAGGGAAGTAGGTGGCAGCAAAAAGGCCTTCACTAGAGGTGCTTTCTGGCTTGAAATATCCTACCTCCAGAACCATGAGCCAAATAAATGTCATTGTCACTTAGCCAGCCTGATACATTGTATTACAGTAACAAAATGGACTAAGGCAGGAGCTAAAACATCTTTTTACTGACATTTGGGAAATATCTAGAACCCTTTCTTAATGGAGTCAAGGATTGTAAAGCCAGGACATTTCAATTAGTTTATATTCTAATGAGAGGAGACTTTAAATAGTATAGAGATTTAAAGTATAAAACAATTTCATAAACAGGAAGCAAAGTTTTCTGTACAAGGTTAAAGAGAAAGGAGAAAACGGACAAAAATTGATTCAAGGGCCTTAAAGTGTATGTCAACATAGTTTATTAAAAGCCAGGTGTGGTGGCACACGCCTGCAATCCTAGCACTCGGGAGGCTGAGGCAGGAGGACCATTGCAAGTTGCAGACCAGCCTGGGCTGCAAAGTGAGCTCAAGTCCAGCCTGACCTGCATAATAAGACCCTGTCTCAAAAAGACCGAAAGAAAAAAAACATTTAAAATCTTGAAGATGCCTTGGTTGATACATTGTGTCAACTAATTTAGAAGCTTAACTAAGTACTCAGCAATTCTACATCCTAGAGTATAGAAGACATACGGTAATGGCTGTTAGTGCCCTAGCATGTTGTAAGGGTTGATTCATTGTGTCAATTGGAGAAGTTTAACTCAGCAGGGGCCAGTGTCCTCACTTCTGTAAACATCCTGAGCCTGTGTAAGAGGGCACCCAGGCACCTGAGATGGGAGATAGTGTAAGTGCTACATCTGCCCTAGGGTGGGTAGCCTGCGTACAATATAAAGGAGGAAAAGAGGCTCTTTCTCCCTTTTTACTTTTGTTGCTTTTGTTGTCTTCTGTTGCCTTGAATTGTTGCCCCTCTGCCATGCCATCCTGCTTTGGAGCCAGCTGATTATGGACTGAAATCTCTACAGAGAGCTAAATAAATCTTTCCTTCCTTAACCTTGGGTGTCAGGTATTTTCTGTCACTAACAAGAGAAAAGTAACTAAGACATGCTGCTAACTTCAAATTTGAAGGGTAATTCAGACAACATTGCTACATAAAAATGAAATGAGAAATCCCTCCAAAATATGACTAGTGATACAAATCAGTATCTTAATGTACACTAGCTAATTCATATCTCATTGAAGTTGATGTGACAACAAAAATGATATTCTGTAGTTCCATAGAAAAAACTTTTTTCTCACACAAAAGCAAATGGTAAAAATAGAAAATATTTTTAAATGAAGCAGATCACAAAGTAAACAATGCATGTTTTAAATTGTATTCTATTCTGAAGAGTGAGATAAAAATTTCCCACGATTGCACTCTGTCCCACGCAGGGTTTCAGCCATCCCCTTACCCAGCACAGCCATGCTGTGTGTGCTGCACACCGGCTGGTCACTTAGCAGCCACTAGGGTTACCAGGCCGACTTGTCCTGGTATTGCAGCACTCACTTGAGTTCAAGTAACCTTTATGTTACTTAATAATAGCTCCAAACTGCAGTGATTTTGGCAATTTGGACTAGCCCAGTGAAGGTATAATGTGAAAATGTTCACATTAATTTAAAAAGGAGGGAAAAATTATAAGGCTGAAGTTGCTAAGATGTACAGAAAGAATGAATCCTCTACAGAATTGACAAAAAAAAAACTTTACAAGTTTTGCTATGTACCTCAAACTGCAAACATGTATATGGTCCATGGCTCATAAAAAAAATCTACCAATACTTCAAGAAAAAATATGAGAGAGAGACAGAGAGAAAGTGAGAGACAGAGACAGTGACAAAGAGAAAGACAGAGACAGACAGTGAGACAAAAGGACAGAGAGAGAGAGAGAGCACATCTTCAAAACCTTTCTTATGGTATATTATAATTGTTCTATTTTAATGTTAGTTACTGTTAATATCTTACTATGCCCATTTATAAATTATGATTACCATAAAAATATATAAATAGGAAAAAATATGTAAAAAGTTTGGTGTGTGGATGGCAGGGAGGTACTGCAATTCAGATTAGACAACCATACACTTTCTGGTTTTGTTTGTCTTCTTACAATTATTAACAGTATGAACAGCAAGCATAGTACAGATCATGATGAAAATGCCTTTCAGTGTAGGATATATATATAATATATAATATAATAAATATAAACTGTACTATGTATATAATATCATCAATTATATATATAATATAATAAATATAAAATGTACTGTGTATATAATATCATCAGTTGGCATAACACAGAAAGATAGAAATTAAGATTCCCCATTTTCCAGAGACTGAACTGGAGGGCAAAAGGAGCTTTTGTGTAAGACCACACAGAAGATAAATAATTACATAAAATGCAAAGCTAATGATCTGTTTTCTTCTTCCTACAGCATGATTGCTAGGGAAACTATTTTACCACAGTTTTATTTACTAGAGAAACTGATTTTTATATTGGTTTTTAATTATTAGAGAGAGATAGCGGAGGTTTCTTTTCTACACTAATATTTCCCTACTAGATTTCCAGATTTCACTCAAATTTCTTTTGATGTAAATCAACTAATATGAGTTAAACAATATGATAAAGAACTTTTAGTATCTAAAGGTATTTTTAGAAGATAATGCAAAGATATTTATAAATACTCTCAAATTCAACTGAACAAATCATTTTCTACATTACAGGCATGTTCTTGAGCTAACTGACATACTTGTTAATGATCAAGTTCTTTTGATTGTACAAAAGACTTAAGAAAAGGGATCCAACTGAATAAATAGTTATTTTTATTGTTTCTAAACTTCAAGTTAGAGTCAAACTTTTACTATACAAACTATTAACTAAGTAAAACCTTCTGTGATTTTTTCTTCTAAGAAGAGTCCAATGCTTTTCAATATGATATGCTCAATTAAATTTTATTTGAATTACTTTGAAGGAAACTTTCAAACTGATGTATTAATTTTTCAAGTAGATAAATGTTCTTAGGCAGAAAACTGTACAGTAGGAATGTTTACTAGGATTCAGTTACATAGTGATTTTTCATAACACATCTAAAATTACCTGACTTCCATATCCATGGAAAGAAGGAGAAAAAAAGGAAGAAAGGAAGGAGAAAGAAGGAAGGAAGGAAGGAAACAGAAAACTGATAACATACTATCAAATTTTGTACAGAGCTTTTAGAAAACTAAATTATATGTCAAGCATTGGAACATGACTATACAAATATCTATATGAATATCCTATCATATGGATTTACTATACTTTAAGTAATTACTTATTATTAAAATTTACTTTATAGAGGGGGTAAAAGCAGTGTACTAAAATATGCTTTACAATACTGTATAAACCATCTAAAATATATTTTTCTTTGTAGAGGGAAAACTGCTCTGTTATGCATCGACTACATACTATTACTACTACATGTTATTACTACTTTCATACGAATAAAACACATGAGATATGAGCCTTCTCTTCTTCCTGAGTCTAGAAAGTGATATCTTTTAATACTAAATTAAGCCCATCTTGATATAGAGCTTAATAGTAAATTCCACTATCCCTTTATTGGTCCACTTGAGGACTTCTAGATATTATTCAAGGTGCCTTAAAATGAAGAAATACTCTGTAAATTACAATTGCAATAAAAAACGTTCTCTTTCACTAAAATAATTCTCATGAATATAAACAGAAGTCAGGAAAAATGCTGAAAGATATCTGTAAATATTGTAATTTTCTGAAAATAATTTTAAATAGTATCATCAAAAAACTCATTTATTTTTAAGGAAATCTTAGAAATAATTTTTATAGAAAATAGAAATTCTTTTCATCTCTGCTGTCATTTGGGGTTTTGCAAAGGGAAACAATGCAGTACAGAATAATTAAGATTAGTTTATAATAGTCACCCAAACAGTCATATACGATAAGAGTGCAGGAAATCTGTTCACACACTGAAGATTAAAGAATCCAGGAAGAAGAAAAAAAGGAAGGGAGGAAGGAAGGAAGGAAACAGAAAACTGATATCATACTATCAAATTTTGTATAGAGCTTTTAAAAAACTAAATGGATCCCAAGGTAATGTCTTACATGAGTCCAGCTGGAGACCTAGAACTGAT